GTACGTATGTGTTTTGGGAGATCAGTAGGGTAAAATCTTCTCCCCTTGTTCGTATTCAACCATGTGCAAGTTAATTTATACAAGTGTATGTCTATAACTAAGCCCTTAGCCCAAACTAATATACAAGAGACTAATTACAATTGGGCTAAGCCCGAATATACTAATAATACGCTAATACATACCTAAAGCAGAATGAACATTATGGCCCGGAGAACTACATTTCACCGTTTTCCATTTTATGGACTACAAATCTACAATAATGAAGAAGTACAGAGTATTAAATAGTAAGGAGTTATAAAAGCCAAAGCGAAATATCTAAAATCATTTCTAACCCTTAATAAGACGTATTTGCAAAAAAAAACCTTAATAAGATGTTGAATCGTGTATTAATCAAAATAAGTAAAACTGACTTTACTTTTCTAACTTAATTATATTCTTCAAAGAGAAATACTTCTTCCATAATTTGTTTTCTTTATTTTAGTAATAAAATAATCCGTATATTTCATTTTTTTTCATATTAAAGTAGATTTAACTAATTAAGTCATTACAGCTGGTCACCTGCCTATATTAAGGTTACGCTGGCCACGTATATAAATATAAACTAACTCTTAAAATATTGGACATTTGAAGGACTTCTCCTGTCAGTCTTCTATAATGAAACACTTGGCTTATAATATTAAATCATAGCCAATTAAATTCCACAAGAAATACAACTCTCTTAAGCCTCAATAATGAGCACATGAACATATACTATAAGATTAGTCTATTTCAAGGAGCAAACATCTTGTGTTAGTTGTGTGACATGTTAGATCGTTAAACACTTGGATTTTTTAGTACTAGAACTTCAAGTACGTCTCAACAAAGTGACCAGTAATGTAAACATTCAAATAAATATTAGGGTAGTCTCCATTCTCCAGGACAATTATATATGTTTAATTTGACAGGAGTATTTTTAAATTTGAAACCCAAACATGTGTAATTGAGAGATGGATCCAAATCTAGACTTTCGCTCACTACATTCCATAATTACCGAGCGTGAAGGAATTATGGAATGCAAAAACCGATTGTGTATGCAAAAACGCGATGTATAGCATGGCGGTGAAAAATTGGAGAATCCCAAGAGCTCCTCCTCGCATATATACTTCATAGCTTGGACATTTTGTAAATAGCTTAATCACTCCAGAAAAAAGAAAACCTTCTCCTATAATTGAAGCCAAGCTGCATTCCAATCCACACCATAAAATTTAATGTCACATATAGTCACTTTGCATAAGGTATATATAGTGATTTATAATATGATAGTAATATCTCAATCATAGTAATTTATGTTCAACTTTTATAATAAAGTGAGTATGTGACTATATTATAGTACTCAGGGCTGGCCCAAGGCAGGTGCTCCATATGCAGCCGCACAGGGCCCAAAATTTTAGGACAAAAAAATCTACTACATAGTAGTATTATTATCCATCCTGCCAGCCCAGCTCCATAACATATGAAGAAATAATAGAAAGAACGTTGAAGGCCTCGCGTAGGAAGTGAAGAACATAAGACGGAAACTCTGGGAAGAAGTGCCCAGCCTCCAGCTCCATGACCACCGTGCTGCTGCACCACGCCTCCGGCCAGGACCGCTCGTCCGTTGACCGTCTCCCGTCGGTAAGCAACTAAGCACAACACTCTGCTACTCAATACTTCAAGAGTCAATATAGCCCTTAGCAAATGAATGATGAATCTGTTTGTCTATGATTATTGGATTTTTTTAATTACAATAATTTGCAAATTACTGAAAACATGAAATTAGTTTATTGCATGGTTGTCATTTGTTTACTTATTTCAGTTGTTGAATTGATAGTAATTATTGAATTGATTTTAGTTGTTGTATTGATAATACTTCGTATATTATTTTGGTTTGTTGCAAATTACTGTAAATTTGAATTAGTTTGTTGCATTGTTGTAATTTCAATTCATTGTTATAATTGAATTGATAATAATTGTGTTTAACAATTAAGATTTAAGAATTGTTATTTGGCCCTATAGGTTTATAAATTATTATTATATTATTATAATCTTTCATGATTTCACCAGAATTTTAAACTGAATTTTAAATTGAAATTTATAATCATGTACATGATTAGGGGAGAATAAAACATAATCGGCGGTAATTTATAATCATTGCATTTTAATACAGTTAGGTTGTTGGAACTTGGAAAAAAGGCCTAACTTTTGTTGTTGCACATGTTAGCAATATTTTTGTAAATATGTTTCATTTCAGTACTATTTTTTTATTTTAAAAAACCTCTTTTTTAAATAATATCTATTACTTATTTAGATTTATCTTAAACACAACTTGCTATTAAGTTAAAAAATTTTGTTTGGATTTAAAGTATTTTTGATTAATTTTATTTGAAAATTGATTTTAAAATATAAACACACAAGATGATTATTTCTAGTCTGAGTTTTAAACGACCAAACCCGGATTACAAAAAACCCGACTCGAAAAAAAATGAAGGCCTTGATTTGGTTCCTAATTAATATAACCCGAGATTTTGTGAGTAATTTTCAGATTTAGCATAAATCTAGTCCAAACAAGACCGATCCCATCCCTAGTCATATGTTATATTTTTTTACTTTGTGTCTATCTCTCTCATATGTTGGGATATAACAATCACGCACAATACGAAAACAATAAGAAAATACAAAAGTTTGGTTACCCAATTCGTCAAGAATGACTACGTCTAGGGGCACCTCTAATGATGATTACAATGAGAGGACGGATATTTAAAAAGAATATAAGCCTAACCCCGAAAACTCGCTGGCTCATACGTAGTAATATAAAGGGAAAGGGTGCAAATAGGCCCATGTACTAACAAAAAAAGGTCAAATAAGCCCTTATTTAGGAGGTTCTGCCCGGCCGTCGCCATTTGTGGTGGTTCCCGGTGGAATTTTTTGATGAAATTTTTTGAGCATCTTATTCATCAAGTCTAGTTTACTCAAACCAAATTTCAGCTAAAACCTCAATCGGGAAGGCATTCAAATGAATTCTTGAAGATAACTGCGCAGTTATTTTCAAGAATTCATTTGAATGCCTTCCCGATTGAAGTTTTAGCTGAAATTTGGTATGAGTAAACTAGACTTGATGAATAAGATGCTCAAAAAATTTCATCAAAAAATTCCACCGGGAACCACCCCAAATGACGACGGCCGGACAAAGCCTCTTAAATAAAGGATTATTTGATCTTTTTTGGTTAGTACATGGGCCTATTTGCACCTTTTCTTTAATATAAAAGACTCAAAAAATTTAGGCATGTTCATATCACATGTATGTGAACCGTGCACGCTTTGACATAATATAATATTTAATGCATTCTTCTCTGGGTTCGATTTCATATCCTTATTTGTGTTTCTTTTCATATTTTCTACATCAAATAGTCAAACCGCGTGTGATCTAGCAAAAAGTGTTTGTTTAGAAAGAGCAAAACAAAATTCAGAGAAGAATTCTACTTTATTACTCCGTATTTCACTACTTGTCACTTCGAAAAAACAAAGGCAATAAATTATAAATGAGTTTTAATTTTACGGTAATTCCATACCATATTTTATGAAAATTGAGGCCCGAATCATCTAAAATATATACGCAATTTTATGTTTTGTTGCTGGTGTGTCAATGAACCTCACATTTTCTTGATAACATTACTTCTTTTCCTAAATTATTTTATTCTCTCAAACTTATTTTGGAGTTTTACCTAAGTGTAACTAAAGTATTCATAAACTCTTAATAGAGTCCCGATCCTGTAAGGCCGGCCTGACGGGAACCGCCTTCAGGCCGAGACCATTTGAGGACCTTTCCGGTGGAATTTTTTGATGAAATTTTTTGAGCATGTTCGTCATCAAATCTAGTTTGTTCATACCAAATTTCAAGTAAAAATTCAATCAGGAAGGCAGTCAAAAAAATTCCCTCCTAAAACTGCGCAGTTTATATATATATAATGCACAGTTTTAGTAGAGATTTTTTTTTACTGCCGTCCCGATTGGAATTTTAGCTGAAATTTGATATGAACAAACTAGACTTGATAAGGAACGTGCTCAGAAAATTTCATCAAAAAATTCCACCGGGAAGGTCCCCAAATGGCCTCGTCCTGACGGCGGTTCCTATCAGGCCGGCCTGATACGATCAATCCTTACTCTTAGTATATTACTAGCAACTTAAAACATGATTCTATATAGTTATAATTGAATTCAAGAGAGAAAAAGTAACACAGAAACACATAAAAGTAAGAGCTATTAAAAAGAAATCATCAAAACTATACTTGGTTTTAGTGAAATTTTAATTGATTCAACCCAAAGTAGGGTACTATTTCAATTTTGAAATTTGAAAGTCGACCGTTGGCTTTAACTTTCCACTAAAAATGTCTAAATAAAAATGATGATAAGTTATTTTCGAGACAAAAAACACATACCACGTCACCCAAAATAAAATGCAGCATGTAACTCTCCATATTTTACTTGATAGTTCAGGACTACAGGCAGTGGCGGAGCCACTATGATGCAAAAGTGTTCAATTGAACACCTAATATTTTGAAAAACATACTAGTATATATGTATAAATTTAATTTAATTATTTTTTGTCCTTTCAAATTTTAATTCTACAAAAAAATGAAAACCCAAAACTTGAAACATAAATCCCCCACTGACTTCAGGCCATCTACCGCCTGGGCTTGTTCTAAAAACTAGAAACGCCAGTATTGCAGCCCCATCACCACATATTGCTAAAATCAGCTGCCAGAACAGAGAGTTAGTATAACATGCACCAGTCACGGCCACCTGTCCCAATGATGAAAATTACCTTTACTCACGGTGTAAAGGAAACCAGTTTCTATCGTAGAATGATAGACGACCAACAAGCCGTAAGATTACTTCTTATTATTCCTTGAACTAATACTGGGAATATATATATATATATATATATATATATATATATATATATATATATATATATATATATATATATATGCCCATACCTCTAACGAATAGCTTCATCCCCCATCTGAAAGACGCCGCCTTTCTGAGTTTCCCGTCCTTTTAAATTATCCAAAAATGGCTACTCAGATGAGCAAGAAGCGAAAGTTTGTCGCCGATGGAGTTTTCTTCGCGGAACTTAACGAGGTTTTGACGCGAGAGCTTGCTGAGGATGGATACTCCGGAGTCGAGGTCAGAGTCACTCCCGTCAGGACAGAGATCATTATACGTGCCACTCGTACTCAGAATGTTCTCGGTGAGAAAGGAAGGAGAATTAGGGAACTGACATCACTGGTCCAGAAACGGTTCAAGTTTGAGGAGAACACTGTGGAACTGTATGCTGAAAAGGTGCAAGATAGGGGTCTTTGTGCCATTGCTCAGGCAGAGTCTCTCCGCTACAAACTTCTTGGTGGTCTTGCTGTTAGGAGGGCATGTTATGGTGTCCTGCGATTTGTAATGGAAAGCGGAGCAAAGGGCTGTGAGGTAATTGTCAGTGGGAAGCTGAGAGCTCAGCGTGCTAAATCTATGAAGTTCAAAGATGGTTACATGATTTCTTCAGGTCAACCTGTGAAGGAATACATCGACACTGCTGTGAGACACATTCTAATGAGACAGGGAGTGTTGGGCATAAAGGTTAAGATCATGCTTGGGCATGACCCTGAGGGAAAGACTGGGCCAAAGTGTCCTCTTCCAGATCTTGTCACTATTCATCCTCTTAAGAATGAGGAAGAAACCACCTCAAAGCCGCATGCTCCTGCAATGGCAGTAGTGCCAACCACTGATATTGAAGTTCCAGTTATGTAGGCACACATCAACTGTCAGAGCTGTGTGTTTACCTTACATGATAATATGGATTCTATGTTTCTTACTACTATGTCCCTGCATTCTTACTTCTAAGATGATCTGTGCTAAGAAAATTTTGTTCTTTAAAAAAAAAAAAAAAAAAAAAAAAATATATATATATATGCCCATACAATCGTAAGGACTAACAATCCTATTGTAAATAAAATACCAGTAGCTTGTAAGAAACCTATTCTAATGCAAACACTTAATTAATAAATAATAACAACAAGTTATTAAAACAAATAAATAGACTTAAGCCACGTAATCCTGCAACTTGACATTACTCCTGCGTAGTCTTTTGCTTTGGCGTTGACCAGCCTCGTTATTGACTCCATCATTGCCCCCTTCTCGAGGACGAACCTTGTCCTCAAGGTGGAAGTTCGGAAATTGCTGCTGCAGTGTCTCAACAGGTTCCCATGTCGCCTCCTCTGGACTGAAAGATGCCCATTGGATTAAGGCCTCTTTTTTTTCTCCGGATTGTGTTCGAACACGCCTGAACCCAAGCACTTTCTCAGGTTCAAAATCAGGATGACCATCTGCAGCATATGGGGGTAGCCGAGGGTTGGCAGTCACCTGTGAACCAATACATTTTTTTAGAAGTGAAACATGGAAGACGGGATGAATGCGTGACTCGGGCGGTAATTCCAGCCGGTAGGCAACCTCCCCCAGTTTCTCCACGATAGTAAAAGGCCCATAGAACTTGCACGTGAGCTTCTGGTTCACCCTTTTAAACACGGACTGTTGTCGGAATGGTTGCAATTTTAAGTACACCCGATCACCAACCTCAAACTGTACCTCCCGTCTTCCGGCATCAGCCAGTTGCTTCATTCTGTTACTTGCCTGAATAAGGTTCTTTCGTAAAGTATGGATGAGTTCGTTTCTGGAAGTGAGTTGTCCATCAACCTCAGCTACTGGAGACTCGCCATTAGTATATGATCTCAATATTGGAGGAGCTCTCCCATATACAGCCTCAAACGGTGTCATGTTAAGAGAACGATGATATGTTGTGTTATACCAGAGTTCAGCCCATGGCAAATGAGAGATCCATTTGTCCGGAAAACTGTGGACAAAACACCTTAAATATTGCCCCAAGCATCGATTAACAACCTCCGTTTTCCCGTCTGTTTCTGGATGATATGCTGAACTCGTTTTTAATGTCGTCCCTTGAAGACGAAATAACTCTTTCCAAAATAAGCTCATGAAAACTCGATCTCGATCACTAATAATAGTTTCAGGAAATCCATGTAAGCGAACTACCTCTTGGACAAAAACTGCAGCTACTTCCTTTGCGGTAAAAGGATGCCCAAGACCCACAAAATGGGCGTATTTTGTAAGACGGTCTACAACGACCAAGATGGTATCCTTTCCTCTTGCCCTTGGCAATCCTTCGACGAAGTCCATGCTAATATCCGCCCAAATTGCACTCGGAACCGGTAATGGTGATAATAAACCAGCAGGACTTAAGCAATCATTTTTAGCTCGTTGACAAATATCACATTCACTCACATATTTTTTTACTGCCGTATTCATTCCAGCCCAACTAAATATTTTATTTAGCCGCTGATAAGTCCGCAGCCTCCCTGAATGTCCACCTTCCTTGGAGCCATGAAACTCGTCAAGAAGTTGGCGTCGTAATCCTTCATCGTTGGGGACCATCACCCTCCCTTTATACGTCACACATCCCCCTCGTAGGTCATAATCCTTGACTGTTGCAGACTTTTGTTGGATGTGTTTGCTGATTTCTTGTAAATGGGGGTCCTCCTTCGTTTTGCTACGGATGTCCTCCCAAATGGCCCATAACGGTCCAGTCACAGCAGTGATTGCATCCAAGGCCTCTTGAGCAGGTGGTTCGCGACGCGAAAGAGCATCAGCAACGTTGTTCATTTTCCCAGGCTTGTAGATAATGACATAGTCGAACCCCTGTAATTTGGATATCCACTTTTGCTGTTCAGGAGTTGTAATCCGTTGTTCAAGAAGATGCCTTAAACTTTTCTGGTCTGTAGCTATAGTAAAACGTCTCCCCAGAAGGTAAGTCCTCCAGGTCCGGACCGCTTCAACGACTGCAAACATCTCCTTGACATAAGTAGACCATTCCCTTTTTGTTGGGCCCAAGGTTTTGCTCATAAATGCCACTGGATGGCCTTTTTGGGATAAAACCGCTCCAATCCCGTAGCCTGATGCGTCCGTTTCTATCAGAAAGTCGGCAGTGAAATCTGGAAGTGCAAGTACATGGGTGCTTGAAACTGCCTGTTTGAGCAAATTGAACGCCTTACTAGCTTCACTGGTCCAACAGAATTTCCCCTTTCTTAATAGTTGTGTCAGGGGTTGTGCTATCAATCCATACCCCTGGACAAATTTTCGATAGTAGCCCGTCAGCCCCAAGAATCCTCTTAAAGCGGTGATGGTCTTTGGTACAGGCCATTGAAGCATAGCCTCTATTTTCCTGGGATCCACACGCACCCCGTCCTTGGAGATGAAATGCCCGAGATATTCCACCTCCTTTTGGACCCAAAAACACTTAGACGGTTTGATGTAAAACTGATGACGCCTGAGTATTTCTAGGGTGACCTGTAAGTGGTTGAGATGTTCCTCTCGTGTACGACTGTAAATAAGAATATCATCAAAAAAAACCAAGATGAAAGTGCGTAGGTACGGTCTGAATATGTCATTCATGGCGGCCTGAAAAGTAGAAGGGGCGTTGCACAAGCCAAATGGCATAACGAGATACTCATAGTGTCCGTTATGGGTCCGGAAAGCTGTTTTATGGATATCGTCCGGGTGAACCCGTATCTGATGGTACCCAGCCCTTAAATCCAGCTTAGAGAAATATTGTGCTCCGTGCAATTCGTCGAGCATATCATCGATAGTTGGGATGGGAAATCTGTCTTTGAGAGTAGCATCATTCAAAGCCCGATAGTCTGTACAAAATCGCCACGTACCATCTTTTTTTTTAACAAGTAGCACTGGAGAAGAGAAGGAGCTCGAGCTTGGTTGAATGAATCCCAGTTGGAGCATTTCACGCACTTGTTTCTCAATCTCTGCCTTCTGAAAATATGCATAGCGGTAGGGGGCTACATTCACACTTTGATTATCATCCTTTAACCTAATCCGATGGTCAAATCCGCGCCTAGGAGGTAGGCACTTGGGAGCTTCGAGTAAGTCCCTGAATTGCTTTAATATGGATTGTACATCCTGTGGAAGTGTTTGAGGCAGGTCTTCATTAGTCTTTGTTGAGCTTACATTTGTCAAAGTAAAAAGTTCAGCCCCTTGGTGCCAATCTTCCAATAGCGCATGGGCCGATTCCCAACCCGGAGTCACGTGAGCATTAGCTCGAATTAAGTGGTTGTTTCCACCCACTTCAAACTCCATAGTCATACTATTATAATCAGAAATAATTCTTCCCAGGCTCTTTAGCCACTGCATTCCAAGAACGAGATCCATTCCGTTAATAGGTAGCGCATATAGGGTCGTTCGAAAGTCATACCCTTGGATCGTAATAAGGACATCTTCAAATTTTTCATGACACCAAAGATGGTCCCCATTAGCAACCTGGGCAGCAAAAGGTTTGATTTTTGTGATAACAAGCTTCAATCTTCCTGCAATTTCTGGGTTTATGAAATTATGTGTTGAGCCCGAGTCAATTAGGACGCTGATTTGTAGATGCTTAATTCTTCCTTGAACCCGCATGGTTCGTGCGCCAGTGCCTCCAACCAAAGCGTGAAGAGATATTTGAGGCAGCTCCTCAGTAGGTATAGAATCGTTACAATCATCCATCTTGGCAGCTATATGGGTACTTTCTTCCACTGCTTCAATGATGAACTGTGAGGCTTTGCAACGATGCCCTGGGACAAACCGTTCATCACAATTATAGCACAAATTCTTCTCCCTTCGAATCCGCATCTCGTCTATGGTCAACCTTCGAGGAGTGATAGGGCTGACTGGTTTAGGCGTGTTATTTCCAGTTGCTGAGGTTTGAGGGGTTCGCAAGCCAAGGGATTTAGGAAAATTTGCAGCTGCCTTCACCTTACTTCGCTGATGTTTTTCATCAACTCTCCGGGCCAAATCCATTGCTTCAGATAGCCTTTTTGGATTAAAAAGACGTACATCTAGCGATAACTCTGCCTTCAAACCTCCGAGAAGGGTCCCCAATAGAGCCTTGGCAGTCCAACCCTTCACACGAGTGGACAACTTCTCAAACTCTTGTAAATACTCTCGGTATGAACCAGTTTGTTTAATTTTACTCAGGAGTTCATCATAGTCCTCAAAGTCGGTAGGTCCAAATCGTTTCAGAATACCCTTTTCGAATCGCCCCCAAGAAATCTTTCGATGTTGTTGATTATTAGAAAACCATTGCCACCATTGATTAGCTTCTCCCTCAAGATGGAACGAGGCCAGCTGCAATTTTTTTGAGCCTTGGATGCTCTTGACGCTAAAATACTGTCGTGCTCGATCCAACCATACCTCCACATCAACCCTAGAAAATTTTGGAAAATCCAAACGTAGTCGATCACGTACCTCATCTGTTTTGGCCCCCCTGCGAACGAACCTTCCACTATTCGCTTCAGATTCCCCCGAATTGTTGTCGGATGAGCCCCCGCTATCTGATGAGACCCCCACCGATGATGACGACGATGATGAAATTTCATACCTGGTCTTCTTCCGTCCACGCCTTTTTGGTGATTTGGATGTTCTGGAAGGAGTAGCCGATTCAGATCGTCTTCCAACTTTTTCCTTCTTCAAATTTTCCATATTAATGGATAAATTATTCAAGGAATTGGTGAGGTGAGCGATCAAATTCTCTAATTGTTCAAAGCGCTCCCTATTGGTCATAGCTAATCGACTCCAGGTACCCGGGAAAGTGGGCTCTGATACCAATTGATGAAAATTACCTTTACTCACGGTGTAAAGGAAACCAGTTTCTATCGTAGAATGATAGACGACCAACAAGCCGTAAGATTACTTCTTATTATTCCTTGAACTAATACTGGGAATATATATATATATATATATATATATATATATATATATATATATATATATATGCCCATACAATCGTAA